ATTGTCCTTGGAATATCACTGCAAGCAGGCCCCTAGGGAAACTCCCCTTGGCAGACTGGCCACTCAGAACTCAGTCATCTGATCCCATCATGGGAGCAACCACACAGAACTGGGGTCCAGCCAAGTTGACACACAGCTCCAACCATCACAGAAAGTATAGCATTGCATCCTTTTGTTGAAACATCTCAATTGATGTTTCATCAGTTCCTGGAGTCTTGTTTTTTTGCCAGTGCTTTCAGTGCAACTTGAACTTCTTCCTTCAATACCATTGGTTCTTGATCATATGCTACCTCCTGAGATGGTTGAACGTTGACCAATTTTATTTGGTACCATGACTGTGGCCTTCCATCTTCTCTTGATGCTTTCTGCATTGTTCAATATTTTGCCCACAGAATCCTGCAATATTGCAACTCACACATTGCATTTTTCCTTCAGTTCTTTCAGCTTGAGAATGCTAAGCATGTTCTTCCCTTTTGGCTTCCAACCCCTAATTTTTGCACGTTTCATTAAAGTACTTTACTTTGTCTTCCCAAGCTGTCCTTTGAAATCTTCTGTTCAGTTCTTTTATTTCATCATTTCTTCCACTGGCTTTAGATACTCTCTGTTCAAGAACTAGTTTCAGAGTCTCTTCTGACATCCATTTTGGTCTTTTCTTCCTTCCTGTCTTCTTAATGACCTTTTGCATTCTTCATGCATGATGTTCTTAATATCATCCGACAACTCATCTGGTCTTTGATGACTAGTGTTCAACGCATCAAATTTATTCTTCAGATGGTCTGTAAATTCAGGTGGAATATACTTTAAGTCATACTTTGTCCCTTGTGGCTTCAGCTTCAACTTGAAGTTGTATATAAGCAATTGATGGTCTGTTCCAGAGTTGGTCCCTGGCCTCATTCTGATGGTATTGAGCTTCTCTGTCATCTCTTTTCATAGATGTAGTTTATTTGATTCCTTTGTATTCCTTCTGGTGAAGTCCATGTGTACAGTCACCATTTTATGTCATTGAAAATAAGTATTTCCAATGAATAAGTCACTGCAAAATTCTATCATGCCATCTCCAGAATAATTTCTATCACCAATGCCGTATTTTAAAACTGGCCCTTCTTCATTTCCAACTTTTGCATTTCCATCACCAGTAATTATCAAATATAGGGAGCTCTGGAAGCATAGTGCCTAAGGCACTTGACTGCTAACCAGAAGGCTGGCAGTTCAAACCCACCAGCCACTCCTCGGAAGGAAAATGGGGCAATCTACTTCTGTAGTGATACTGCCTCAGAAACCCAAGGAGGGGTCGCTATGAGTTGGGTCTGACTCCACGGCACATAACAACAACAACAATAATTATTGATGTATCTTGATTGCATTCTTGACCAATTTCAGACTGCAGAAATTGGTAAAATCTCTAATTTCTTCATGTTGGGATTAGTGACAGGTGCATAAACTTAAACATATTAGCATTAATTGTCTTCCTTGAAGTTTGGCCATTCTTGCTTCCAAGAAGCATTCTGGCTGCACTTCTTCCAGGACAGATTTGTTCATTCTTCTGGCAGTCCATGATATTTTCGGTATTCTTAGCCAACACCACAATTCAAAGGCATTAATTATTCTGTCTTTCTTACTCATTGTTCATCATTCACATATATATGAGGTGACTGAGAATACTATGGCTTCAGTCAGGCTCACCTTAGTCTTCAAAATGACAGCTTTGCTTCTTAACACTTTAAAGAGGTCTTTTGCAGTAGATTTCCCAGTGCAATACAACGTGTGATTTCCGCTTGCTGCTTCCATGGGTGTTGACTGTGGATCCAATTAAGTCATGGATCCATGGAGTCATGCCATATCCAAGTAGGTGTATGGATGTATTTCCTATCATTGACAGCACTGTACTTCAGGACAGATCTTGAAATGTTCTTTCTGACAACAAATGCCTCTTCAGTTTGTCTTTCCCAGCATAGTAGACTGTATGATTGTCTAATTCAAAATGGCAATACTACTCCATTTCAGCTTATTAATACCTGGGATGTGTTCCATTTCATTTTTGATGACATCCAATTTTCCTAGGTTAATACTTTGCACATTCCACATTTTGATTATTAATGATTGGTTGCAGCTCTTTCTTATTTTGAGTCATGCCATATCAGCAAATGAAGGCTTTACTCCATCCATGTCATGAAGGTTGTAGTAGTTAAGATTATGTGTCAACTTGGCTGGGCCTAGTTTTGAGTGGCTGGGCACTCACCCCACAATGAGACTGGTAGTCAACTCCATGGTGGAATCTGCTGTGAGCAGGTGAGTAGCTGCCTCAGGGGTGTGGTCTCCTTCCAGTATATAAGAAGACACTTTAAGAAAGGTCTTGAGTTTTTGGCACATCTGGATCCTGCATTTGGCTGAGTCTTCATCTCAGTGGCCTGCCACGCTGCTTGTTGATCTGGACTTGAACTAATGGCCTGCCATATTGCTTGATAAACTTGGGACTGTGCCATTTTACTTGTTGACCTTGGGTTTGTCAGCCTCAGCAGTCAGCAGCTGCCTGAATTAAGAGATACCTCCAGCTCCAGTGGACCAGGAGCAAGAGGCAGAGCTGAAGCCCAAGGTTGAGGGGCCTTCACCCAGCCCCTAGAGCTGGCACTTTGAACTCAAACTCCTACCCTCCTAAACTGAAAGAGAATAAATCCCTGTTTGTTAAAACCATACATTTGTGGTAGGTCTGTATAGCAGCACTAGAGAACCAAAACAAAGGTCGATTCTACTTTGTCAAGATAGTTATTTTAAAGTGCCTCCCAACATGAAGAGCTCAGCTTCTGACACTGTATCAGACAGTGCTCCACTGCTATTCATGGGGTTTTCACTGGCCAATTTTTTTAGAAGTGGATCGCCAGGTCCTTCATCCTAGTTTGTCTTAGTCTGAAAACTCTGATGATACCTCTCCACCATGGGTGACCTTCCTGGTATTTGAAATACCAGTGGCGTAGCTTCCAACAACATGCAACCCACCACAGTACTACAAACTGACAGACGAGTAGTGGAACATCATACTTGCCACCTTCAATTCTCACTTGTATTGTTTTAATAGCATCTAATTGATCTCCTTGCATTTACCCTTGCTTCTATATATTGCATTCTTCATATAGCAAGCAGAATAATTCTTTAAAAACCTGTCAAATCATTTCAGTTCTTTGCTCAAAACTCTCCTATCTCAGCTTCCATCTCACTTAGAAAAACAATACATCTTTAATGCTCTACAAGGTCCAAATGATTTCTTCCCCTTCCAACCTCTCTGATTTAATCTCTTACCAGTTTTCCCCTTCTTTATTCCATTCCAAACATACCAACTTACCTGCTGTTCAATGAACATGTTGAGCATGGCCCCCCTCACAGTCTTTGCACCATCTTCCTGAAATACTTTTTCGTGTAGCTTGTATTTGCACATCCTTCAGGTCTCTCCTTAAATACTGCCTTTTAGTGACAACTTCCCTGATTTTCTTGTTCTACATAGCATCCACCTTCCTAAACCAAGTGCTTTCTATTCCCCTTACTCTACTTTTGTTCAAAGTATTTACCACCACCTGTGAGTAAAGAGTTAACATCAACTCTGGGCTGATCCAGGCAGCCTGGGAGAAAGACCTTAGAGTCTGGTTTCTCCAGTACTGTATTCTTAGAAAATACAGAGTTAAGATAAATATAGAATGTTATATTTTCTTTGTCTGCTGTATGGAACTATACTTGAATTGGAGGAATTTTAAGTTAGCATTACAGGCCTTGGATTTCATAATTAGATGGCAGAAAAGACAAGTGGAAAACTGAGGCTGAAGATTTTCTGCATCAAATTGTCTTATATGTACTATGCCTCTTGTCCACAGCAGCCTGACATACCTTATGTGGGTGAGGCAGCAAAACAAAACTTAACACTTGGGTAGCTGATAGACCTCTCAATGAGATAAAGATGCTGTGCCTGCTATTATCTCCTATTCTGTTTCTTCTATAAAGCTAACAAAAAAAAAAAAAAAAAAAACCTCACGGTCATCAAGTTCATTCCAACTCATAGTGACCTCTCGTTGGGTTTCCGAGGCAGTATCTCTACGGAAGCAGATTGCCCAATCTTCCTTCCAAGGAGTGGCTGTGGGTTTGAACCTCCAGCCTTCTGGGTAGCAGTCAAATGCCTTAGGCACTACATCACCAGACCTCCCTTTTATAAAGCTAAGTAAGCATATTTTTAAATTGAAATTCTATTGTAACTTAGGAATCTGCTGCCAATTCAAACTCATAACAACTATTCTCTAATATACTACCTGACATATTATGCATTCATATGTCTATTTTCAGCCTGTCCAAGTAGAACAGAAACCCTTTAAGAGCTATTAAATATTCTTGCCCACTGCTTAATTCCCAGAGCCAAAAGGAGATGGTAGAAGATCCAATAAAAAAAGCAAGTACCAGAAAGGAGGAGATCCAAAGTTCCAGAAAGCTGGGGGTAGACAACTATATCAAATGCTGTAAAAGGACTGAATATATTAGCAAATGCAAAATACCATAATGCTTGCTAATTGAAAAGTCAGTAGCACTCATGGAGAAAGTCAATTTTGATACAGGGACAGCAGAAGCTAAAAGATGATTAGCAAGTGGTTCAAAAGTAATAGTACTTTTTAAAGATAAACTGAGGACCTGAAAAAATAAGTTAGAGATAAACTACATACTAAGTGAATAAATTAATATGTTTTTCTATGTAGAAAATTTAAATCACTTACCACTTTCTTGCGACGAAGGAGGATTTGAATTTGCTGTAGAATAATGTTCATTAAACTGAAAAATAATTCCCATAAATATTACTTGTGAAATCAGTGGGACACTACATATAGTATTTATACTTGAATTTAAGCAACAATGTAAAACAAGTTTTGCCTTATATACCTTTCATATAAAGCCTAGTTCTTCTAATAAGTTGAATTAAAGCAGACAAGATAGTAGCTTTTTATATAGCACATCATTGTGCTTAAAAAGGAATGTATCGTCAAAACAACCTGTCATTTATCTACAAAATAAGGCCTATTAATTTGATTCTGGCAATACATGAAGTATTAACACCAAAAACCAAAATCAGACTCACTGCCGTGGAGTCAGATCTGACACATAGTAACCTCTCCTTGGGTTTCTTCCTTCTGATGAGTGGCTGGTGGGTTTGAACCGCCAGGCTTCTGGTTAGTAGTCAAATGCCTTAGGAAGTATTAATAGGCAACATATATTGTACAATAGATTGTTCCTACTTTAGAATACAAACATGACCTAATATTTTAGTCAACCTTTGTTTCATTCTGAAGGCCTTTAGCAAATTAGGCTCTTGGTATTGTTTTTCCACCTATAAAAGTAATAGGAAGTATGATAGCTTCATATCAGCTCAGATCAAGTTTTGCTAACAAAAGAGTACCTTCTCTGTAAGATAGGCTTTTTAAAAACATGGGATAATCCTATAATATATGGAAGTTTTCTGTCTTTTTCTTCCTCTTAATATTACAATGTGAGCATTTTTCTATGTTTCTACTTTTCAGACATGGTATTTTCTGGTAATATAATATTCCACCATATGGACATACTATATAGTTTTTAAGGAGGCCTGGTGGTCCAGTGGTTAAGCACTTGCAGTTTGAACCCAGCAGCTGCTGAGTGGGAGAAAAATGTGGCAGTCTGCTTCCATAAACATTATAGCCTTGGAAACCCTATGTTGCAGTTGTACAATATATGTTGCCTATTAATACTTCCTAAGGCATTTGACTACTAACCAGAAGCCTGGCGGTTCAAACCCACCAGCCACTCATCAGAAGGAAGAAACCCAAGAGTTACTATGAGTTGGAATCGACTTCATGGCAACGAGCTTATAGTTTTCAACCGTTCTTTCATCTAGGTTGTTTCAAAAAATTTTTAACATAAATTACACTTGAATAAACATTGTTATACACGTATTTACGTATCTTTGACAATATGAAAAGTTATTCCCAGAAATTTTTAAAGTCCCTTGAATTCTTTTTCATGACTTATCTACTCATCAAAGAGATTTTGCCCATTTCTCTACTGAAGCAGTCTTTTTTTTTTGGCTGATGTATATAAGCTCTTTATACATTAAAGATATTTATTATCATACTATTATAAATATTTTATATCACCTTATGAATTTGCCTTAAAATTTTTGTAACATATAGAAGGTTAAATTTTTTAATATAAAACCCATTTTTTTCCTTCTAGTTCTTCTTCTACTACTTTTATGCTTAGAGAATTCTTCCTCAAGATGTGAAAAATATTCATCTATAATTCCTCTGAAGTATTTTATGGTTACCATTTTAAAATTCCACCACTCATTTGTCAGTTTGTTGTACTGTGGTGGCTTGTGTGTTGCTGTGAGGCTGAAGGCTAAGCCACCAGTATTTCAAATACCAGCAGCATCACACATGGTGTACAGGTTTCAGCAGAGTTTCCAGACTAAGACAGACTCAGGAAATGGAAGGGGCCATCCATTTCTCAAAGAATTGGCCAGTGAAAACCTTATGAATAGCAGTGAAACACTGTCTGATATATTATTGGAAAACTTTATGAATAGCCCTGAAACAATGTCCAATACAGTGCTGGAAGATGAGCCCCTCAGGTCAGAAGGCACTGAAAATATGACTGGGGAAGAGCTGACTCCTCAGAGTAGAGCCACCCTTAATGACATGGATAGAGTAAAGTTTTCAGGACCTCCATTTGCTGATGTAGCACAACTCACAACGAGAACAACTGCAAACATTCATTAATAATCAGAACATGGAATGTACGAACTATGAATCTAGGAAAATTGGAAGTTGTCAAAAATGAAATGGAATGCATAAAGATCAGTATTCGAGGCATTAGTGAGCTGAAATGGACTGGTTTTGGCCATTTTGAATCAGACAACCATACAATGTACTATGCTGGGAATGACAAATTGAAGAGGAATGGCTTAGCATTCATCATCACAAAGAATATTTCAAGATCCATCCTGAACTATAATGCTGTCAGTGATAGGACTACATCCAAACACCTACATGGAAGACCAGTTAATACTACTATTGTTCAACTTTATGCACCAACCACCAAAGACAAGGATGAGGAAATTAAAGATTTTACCAACTTCTGCAGTCTGAAATTGACCAAACATGCAATCAATATGTGTTGATTATTACTGGTGATTGGAATGCAAAAGAAGAATCATTGGTAGTTGTGAAATATGGCTTTGCTGATAGAAATTATGGGAGATCGCATGATAGAATTTTGTAAGACCAATGACCTTATTTATTGCAAATACCTTTCTTCAACAATATAAATGGTGGTAGCTATGTACATGGACTTCACCAGATGGAATACACAGGAATTAGATTGACTACATCTGTGGAAAGAGGCAATAGAGAAGCTCAGTATTTTCAGCCAAAACAAGGCCAGGAGCTGACTGTAGAACAGACCTTCAACTCTCATATGTAAGTTCAAGTTGAAGCTGAAGACAATTAAAACAAGTCCACAAGAACCAAAACAGAACCTTGATTATATCCCACCTGAATTTAGAAACCATCTATAGAATAGATTTGATGTACTGAACACCAATGACCAAAAACCAGAGAAATTGTGGGATGACATCAAGGACATCGTACATGAAGAAAGCAAAAGGTCATTGAAAAGAGGAAAAGACCAAAACAGATGCCAGAAGAGACTCTGAGACTTGCTCTTGAATGGAGAGTAGCTAAAGCAGAGGGAAGAAATGACAAGATAAAAGAGCTGAACAGAAGATTTCAAAGAGCAGCTCAAGAAGACAGAGGCAATTATTATAATGAAATGTGCAAGACCTGGAGTTAGAAAGCCAAAGGAGAAGAGCACACTCAGCATTTCTCAAGCTGAAAGAACTGAAAAAAAAATTCAAACCTTGAGTTGCAGAACTGATTCTATGAGCAACATATTTAATGTTGCAGGAAATATCGAAAAAGATGGAAAGAATACACAGAGTCACTGTACCAAGAATAATTAGTCGATGTTCATCCATTTCAGGAGGTGGCATATGATCAAGAACCAATGGCATTCAAGTAAGAAGTCAAAGCTGCACTGAAGAAATTGGAGAAAAACAAGGCTCCAGAAATTGAAGGAATACTGAGATGCTTCAGCAAACGGACATGGCACTAGAGGCACTTAGACATGTATACCAAAAAATCTGGAAGACAGCCACACGGCCAACTGACTGGAAGAGATCCATATTTGTACCCATTCCAAAGAAAGGTGATCCCACAGATAGTGGAAATTATCAAACAATATCATGCACTGGGTAAATCTGTTGCAAAAGACCTCTTTAAAGTGCTGAAGAACAAAGATGTCCCTTTGAAGGCTAAGGTGCACCTAACCCAAGTAATGGTACTTTCAATTGCCTCATATGCATGTGAAAGCTGAACAGTGAATAAGAAAGACCAAAGAGTTGATGTTTTTGAGTTCTGGTGTTGGTGAAGAATACTGAGAGTACCATGGACTGTCAGAATAACTAACAAATCTGTCCTGGAAGAAGTACAGTCGGAATGTTCCTTGAAAGTGAGAATGGCCTGACTTCATTTCACCTGCTCTGGTCATGCTGTCAGAAAGGACCATTCCCTGTAGTAGGAAGGATATCATGCTTGGTAAAGCGGAGAGTCAGAGCAAAAGGGGAAGGCCCTCAACGAGATGGACTGACACAGTAGCTACAACAATGGGCTCAGGTATAGCAAGGATTGTGAAGCTGGTGCAGGACTGGATAGTATTTCTTTCAGTTGTACACAGGGTTGGCTATAAGTCAGAGACAACTCAATGGCCCCTAACAACAAGAACTTTATAAAATTTAATTTAATGCATCTGTAATTTCTATTGGTGTACAATGAAAAATGAGTGCCTAATTTATCCCTGTTGTTGTTGTTGTTGTGTGCTGTCGAGTCGGCCCTGACTCATAGCGACCCCTCCTTGGGTTTCTGAGGCAGTATCACTACAGAAGTAGATTGCCCCATCTTCCTTCCGAGGAGTGGCTGGTGGGTTTGAACCGCCAGTCTTCTGGTTAGCAGTCAAGTGCCTGAGCCACTATGCTACCAGAGCTCCTACTAATTTTAAATCCCATCTTTCTCATATTTTTTTGTTTCAAGATTTCCTAGAAAACAACCCTTGTTCAATCTGTCAGTTCTTATACCACTATCACATCATTTTTATTACTCTAAGTATACAGGATGTTTTAACATATAGAAAGTAAAGATCTCCCTCACCAATCTTTTTTTTCATATTATATTATTAATGTTCATAAGATCTATAGTGATATCCTTTCACTCCTAATATTGATAAATTGTATTCTTTTTCTTTGTCAGTCTATCTAGAAGTTCGTAAATTTGTTTTTTCCCCCCAAAGAACCAACTTTGGCTTTGTTCATTTTCTCTGTTTATTTTCTATTTCACAGATTTGTTTTCATATTCCTTTAGCTTTCATTCTACCCACTTCAGATTTATTTTGCTGTTCTTCTTCTAGCTTCTCAAGGTGAAACCTTAAATCACTAATTTTAGATCTTATTTTCTATTAAATTACTTAAATCAAATTTTTAAAGCTATACATTTTGCTCTGGCTTTGGCTGTATCCCATAATTCTTACTCAGGTTCTTCTATAATTGGTATTTAATCCACTTCTGTATCCTTCCTTTCAAAGCTCAGGGCTCCAGGATTATCTTCTGTATTTGTGTCAATTGGTTTTTTTCTTTGTTGAAGAGGGTCTGTGTAGCTTGTCTGTCTATTCCACCATCTTACAGAAGTCCCACAATTTTTAACATGCTGAATATTCATAATCATTCAATTCAAATATTTCCTAATTTCTTCTGTGTTTTTCATGGTACAAGTATTTAGGGTTTTCCTACATGTCTTATTGCTACTGATTTCTAATTTAATTTCATTATGCTCAGAGAACATATCTATATTATGATTTCAATCTTTTTAAATTGATTACATTTCATTTTATGGCCCAGAATATGGTCTATCTTGGTGAATGTACCATAGGCACTTGAAAGGAATGTATATGATGCCATTTTTTAATGTGGTATTATATAAATGTCAATTAGGTCAAAGGAGTTGATGTTGTTCATCTTACAAAGGTGTTTAGTGATTTTGTTGTTCAATTTCTATCAACTACTGAGAGGAATGTTTAAAATCTCCAGCTATGTGTTTTGTCTACTCCCTTTAATTATACTAATTTTTACATATTTTGAAGCTGTTATTATGTATACATTTGTGACTATTATATCTTGCTGACGAATTGATTCTCTTATCCTTACGAAATATTCCTTATAATCGCTAGTAATATTCTTTGTTTTTAAGATTACCTAAAATGATATTGCCATAGCCACTGCAACCTTCTTATGTTTACCATTTTTATAGCATATCTTTTTCCATCCATCTACTTTCAAACTTTGTCTTTGTATTTTAAGTTTGTCTTTTGTAATCACTTACAGTTGGGTCTTGCTTATTTATCCATTCTGACAATCCATGACTTTTAATGTAGTGTTTAGCCCATTGGTGATTGATGTAATTATTAAAAAGCTCTTATATTGGTCTACTGTTTTACTATTTGTTTTCTGTTTGTTCCCTTTGTGCTTTGTTACTCCTTCTCTGCCCTCTTTTGAGTTAATGAAATATTTCTTTTTAGAATTCCATTTTAATTTATTACTAAACTTCTTTCTGAAAGTTTTTTTATTATTCTTGACCATTCTTGATCACTTACTTCCCCAGAAAACAAAACTATTTTTGTCAAACTCCTCCCTCAATCCCACCATCACAAAAGCAAAACTAAAAAATTAAAGACAATCTTGCTGAGATTTCAATTAGATTAAAATTGAATTAAGTCTATAAATTATTTTGAAAGAAAATTATCTTCACAATATTTTCTCCCTATATAGGTATTTCATATACCTTACTATGTATTCAAATCATTTTTTTCAATAAAATTTTTATAGTTTTCTTTATCCAAAATGTACCTGTTTCTTATTAAGGTTATATAAATGTATTTTGCTTTTATGTGACTACTGTAAATGAGAATTATGCAACTGTAGTAATTACTTTTTCATGCTCAGCACATACCCTCTAAGAATTTCCTGTTTTCATAGTAAGGATTTAAATAAAAACTAGAGTTTTAGACAAAAGTTGAAGCCATGAAATACTATGAAACATATAGTACTTTATCATCCATCAATAAATTCCAAATTTCAATTTTTTAATATAATGTTGGGGATGTAAGAATAAAATATTCTAATCCATATGTTGCTGTTGTTGTTGTTATGCCGTCGAGTCAGACCTGACTCATAGCGACCTGACCCCTCCTTGGGTTTCCAAGGCAGTATCACTAAAACTGGCTAAATATGACTAATTTAAATGGGTAACAACAACATAATATTTATATTGTATTGTATTATATTAATAATAACAAAATGATTAAGTGTTGGTACTTTTCTAAGTGCTTTATGTATATAAACTTGTCTAACACTCACAAACTATATGGTATTATTTCCATTTTATAGATAAAGAAACTGAAGCATAGAGAGTTATCCAAAATTCCACATCCAATACATACCTAAGTATTGTAACTTCACAGTCTAATCATAACCACTATACTATACTGTCTACTGATGAAATAAAGAACATCCTAACTTTCAGTGTTAATTGGCAAATACAGAAATATCACTTAATCATGATTTCTAAACCTGAAAATCAGAAGATAATTGATATTAGAAAGAAGTTCTTTAGGTCTTTTATAATTAACTGATGATACTGTTGCTATGTATATACATGCAGCTTTTGTATACACACAAGACTAAGTTACAATTTGAAGAATTTTTCATATTAAGAATATATGAAGTTTGCTTAAAAGTTAAGATATATTAACTATAAAGCCAAATTCATTTTTAAACAGCTTTTAACTGCAACTTAAATCATTCCCTACCCAAGATTCTGTTTTTATGATTAGATGCCAATTTGGGATACCTGAGATTGGAAACAAAAAGCTAGTAGGGAGCTTTGATATACTATCAATATATCAATACTCCATTTTTTGTTTTTTTCAATTGCCTCCATTTTGTACTTTGCCCTAAAACAGTTTGGTACCAAGGAACTCAAATTACTTGAGCTCCCAGTGTACAACTTTTAGAAATAAAACTTTAGCTTCTCGTATTACCTGATTTGATGTGATTTCTGAATCAAATATAGAAGAATCAAATAAATTCAATCCAGGAGATCCAGAAGTATAACCCCGGATAAAAGAAATTCCAGGGGACTCCTTTTGTGTTTGACCTTCAGGTACTGTATTTCTATTTATGTTACAGAGAAATAAGAAATCATTAAAAGGTTTTTTTACAAATCTATTATTAAATAATGCATACTCATAAGCACTATAAGCAACAGCATAGAGATGAGAATTAGCATAATAGGGAAAAGTAGAAAGTTACTGAAGTGAAAAACATAAGGAGAAAATATAGTTTAGGTAGAGAATAATGTTAAATAAATAGAACAATCAATTTAAGGACAATTAATACCTACTGATAATGTGTTGTCAGTGTCTATTCTAAGTACTTCCATAGGCATTAACGTATTTCTCACAATAACCCAGGAAGTAGGTACTATTATTATCACTTCCATTTTACAGAAGAGTATTTTGAAGTATAAAAGGTTAAACAATCTTCTCAAAGGCATGTAAGTGCCAGAACTGGGATTTGAATAAAGCAATACAGATTCAAAGTCCAAGCTCTTCACACCTATGCTATCTGTCTGCAGGCTCTTGAAAACCAGTCATAATATTTTAGTCTTGATGAAGAAGCCAGCCATTACAGACTGTTGTATAAGGCAGTTAGACTATAAAAGTAATGATATGGGGAAAATAACTAGACAAACTAGTATAACAAACGAGTATACCACAGTGGTTGAAAGTATGGATTCTGGAGCCATAGTCCCTGAGCTGGAATCTCAACTCTATCATTGATTAGCTCTACCATCTGTGGTTCTCTTTTTCATCTATAAAATAAGGATAATAAAATACCCATACCTCATAAGTTGTTGTGAATATTAAATGAGCAATATTCATAAAATTCTTACAATAGTGACTTGTACAAAGTTAGTGGTTTAGAAGTGTTTGTTAAATAAAACAGAAGTCTAAAGCTATTGCCAAAATTAAATTATGACCATGAATGAGTCATATCTTTCACAGACCATAGTTTTCTCATTAAGAAAGACAGGTTTTAGCATATGATCACATTCTTTCTCAGATTCTCAGATTTGATGACGAGTTCTACTTTGAACATGTTGTGCCTGAGTCAACAGCATGACATTCATATATAAAATGCTTACTAGCAATTTAAAATAGAAAAGAACATAGATGACATCTAAGATGACATAAATTTAGAGGAACCTCAGAGTTCAGCAGTAAGGAAGTGACTGAACTAAATAAGAAAGTTAAATGCAGCACTATTTTCTGGGCTGCACATCACAAATCTATGACTTTCAAATTTAATAATTAATCATGGTGGAAATATTTGTACCCAAAAATGACATTTAACAGAATGCAACTCTTGCTTCAGATGCTACAAAATATGAAAAAATGACTGTTGGAACATTATTCAGTGATAAATCCACAACTTATCAGATGTGCCAGTAGCTTTCTAGCATAACATTTTAAATTTTCCATGAAATTTTTTTCATCTTTTGCAAAATATTAAATCCATGTACTATTGCCCTAGATAAATACTAAGGGATTATATTATTTTCAGTTAAATGTTACATGAAAATTTGAAGGGAGGATCTGTGAAACAAGAACAGCAAAACGTTAATAAATGTTCAAATAGGGTGATACATGGTCATTATACTAGTCTCTTTTCTTTGTATGTTTGAAATTTTTCATAATAAAAACCTTTTAAAGTTAAAGGTAATAAAGTATTTTACACTTCTATCAATTATTTACATAACTCCATAGGAAGAAATTTAAATTATAATTATAGTTAAAATCCTACATATCAAGTGAGGGTGTTTTAGGGAACTGCAATTTCTCCAAAGATTCAGGTGTTCTCACAGCTTCAGGAGTTCTTAAAGATAGAAGAATTTCAGGTGTTTTTGGCAAATTGTCAGCACTTCCTTCTACTTCATTACTTTCATTTTCTGTTGGCTTTCCAAACTGTTCTGAATATATAGCCTACAGATTAAAAATAACAGAAACAGTAAAAATGAATGTTCTGCATCAATAAAATCATGTATCTAAAATGTATGAGATGGAAAACACCATATTAATCTATGATGTTATTACTTCATAGATAAAATAAGTAAAATAAGAATAATTGGTGAAAATGATACCAAAATATATGTGTCAACATTTGTAAGATATGAGTATTGATTTGAGTAAAGGGAAAGACAATATACCAAAAATAAGTGACCAACACATTAGCACTAAGGAAAAGGAAGACACAGAGAGGTACACAAGAGGTACAGACAATAAAGATAAACACTTTTACGTATACAACACTTCATTATCAGTAATAACAAACATTAATCTACAGGTGGATACATAGGTAGACAGGCTAAATGATGAGGCATGTCTGGGCAAAAGGGAATATACACATGACCATATATAAGTTTAGCAGATGATACTTCTATGTATGTATTTGTATATGCTATAAGAATGTCCGTATATATAATAGAGCTAACAGAGCAAAGTGATGATGACTTCTTAGCCACAGCCAAACACACTGAGGGAATGAGTCACCAAGCCCACTGGCTCAGAATCATGGTTGCAGGTGAATCAAGCTCAATTGGCATAAGATCCAACACAAAAACATCATTCTATATCCTACTTTGGTGAGTAGCAACTGGGGTCTTAAAAGCTTGCAAGCAGCCATCTAAGATGCAACAACTGATCTCTCCTTGTCTGCAGAAAACAATGAAGAAAACCAGACACATGGAAACAATTAGTCCAAGGGACTACCGGACCATGCGAACCTCAGCCTACATGACCCTGAGACCAGAAGAACTAGATGGTGCCTGGCTACCACTGTCAACTACTCAGAAGGGGATCAAAATAGGAGATCCTGGATAGAGTGGGAGAAAAATGTGGAAGAAAACTCAAATTCATAAAAAAGACCAGGCCTAGTGGTCTGACAGAAACTGGTGAAAGAAACCCCAAGGCTATGGCCCCTAGTGACCCTGTGGTCTGGAATTAAACTCACTCCTGTGGTTTCTAGTCAAACAACAGATAGGCGTATAAGGTGACCATTTACACCAGCTAGGTTCACTCCTTCAAATGATCAGAAGGACAGTATTTTCACAAGGAGTTCACTCAGAGAGCAGGAATGCACAGGCAAGAAGGACAGAGGAAAAAGGTAACCACAAGAAGGAAGTGGGAAGAGAGCTATTGCACTGTGGGGACTGCAATCAATTTCATGAAACAAAATGTGTCTCAACTGTTGTATAGAAAATGAATTTGTTCTGTGAAGTTTCACCCAAATCACCCATACACACAAATATATCTATGTAGGTATATATGGCAAAATTTTCAATTTAATTATCCAATTTTTCTTCCCAGTTCCATCTTCCCCATCTGTACCTGAAAAAGTAACCAGAACATACTAAAAATGATGAAGAAAAATGGTTAGGAATTATTTTTCTTTTCAATTTTTCATATCATGCTCTGGTTGAAGAACTGTACATGCTACCTCCTTGAAAGAGAAAAGTACTTCACATTGCATAGCAATCTTGCCCTTATTTATTATATTCTTTGCATTGTTTTACCTTTAATAATTCACTATACTACTTTACCTCTAAAAATTAAGAACCTGAATACTAAGTTTCCTTTACCTCATTTTCTAGGCTAGGAATACAATTTCTCAAAAATGTTTGTTATACCAAATCCCAAAACAGAAATAATTTGGGTCTTCTCACAAAATAAATAAATAAAATGTGCTTTGCAGCAGAATATTATTAAGCTGTTTCTTTTGTTTTAACCCTTAGTAGCTAGAGTAACATGAGCTATAACTTTATATTCTGTTGAATCACTACTTGACATACATTGTCTACATCTAGCATCATTTAAAACAAACAAAACACTGCCATCAAGTCGATTCCGACTCATAGTAACCCTACAGGACAGACTAGAACTGCCCCATAAGGTTTCCAAGGCTGTAAATCCTTATGTATGCAGACTGCCTCATCTTTCTCCTACTGAGCAGCTTGCTGTTATTATGTGCTGTTGAGTTGGACATGACTCATAGCAACCCCTCCTTGGGTTTCTGAGGCGGTATCACTATGGAAGTAGCTTACCCAACCTTTCTTCCAAGGAGTGGCTGGTGGGTTTGAACCACCAGCCTTCTGGTTAGCAGTCAAGTGCCTTAGGCACCATGCTACCAGAGCTCCCTAGCAGATTCAAATCTCTGACCTTTTGGTTAACAGCTGAATGTCTTAACCACAGCTTCTTTTATTACTTCAATACCCTCTTTTTAAAAAACTTTTTATCATGATTTGGGTGAAAGTTTACAGAGCAATTCATAAATACCCTCTGTTTTCTATGTAGCAAAACAATAATAAAAAATTTTGCTTTATAAATTCCAGGCAAGCTTTCGTTTTTCTTTAGTGCAAACATCCTGAAGCAGCACAAAGTCATTCTGCTATTCAGGGGACAAAGTCAGTTTACGTAGTACTTAAGGTAATTCCACCTATTCTGGAATGGAAACAGTCCATGTGAGAGTACAGTATTATGTTTGTCCTTAAGGGCAAATGATCATCTTCAGTGAGTTAATATGATTTTTATCTGAGATGACAGAAAATATTTTTAGCTTTGTTTTACAGGTACTGCTGAAGTTGGAACAGGAACTAGTCTTTTACTGAGGCATGTAACTACCATGTCTTACAGTCTGTGGTAACTTACAGGCATTCCTTCTTCATCCATCCCAACTGTTTCAAATCTCTCTACTTCTTCCTTAGTACCTGGACCAAAAACATCTGCCACAGAAACTTCTTGAACAGTTTCATTTGCCCAGATCCACAGGACTATGAAATATAATCTGAAATGTGCTGCTGTTCAAATCTGACAAAATCTTCCTCATTGGCTGATGAAACCTGCTTTGATCTTTCAGAATACAAAATTATCTTGACTGGTTTCATAATGACTAAATGCTTGTTTGAAAATATTGTTGCCTGGGCAATATGCCATCACTACATTATCTATTAACTGTAGGTCTTTTGGCTCCTCCTCTGTATCTAACAAGGGCTGGGTAGACTCAGATTTCAAGAAGACTTGAGCCAATGGAATTGGTATCTGTAGCCACTGTGCACCATAGTAGAATACTGGACAGTGTTTGAAGTGTTCTGTCCAGATTAATTTTCATCACTGCTAGAAATGCTTGGCCTAAAAGATGACATGCATGAACACCCTCCAATATCACTGCTGTGTCCCTCAGTATTATTTTCCTTCTTAAATAGGTCCAATGATTTCAGATCTTCTGGCAAAGGCTTTTTGACATTTGTTTCTATTTCCACAACAATTTTCTAATTCCACAATGATTTTACATCAGTAAAATTGCCATCTGGATATATTTGATCTTTTGAATTAAAATTGTGCCTTGGAAGTATGTGAGGTAACCACTAGGCAATAGGACTCTTTGAAGGATGTGGAATATTAGGTCACATATGTTTTTACTCTGGTCTCACTTATTAAGACAGAGTAACACTCCCAAACAATTTGTCAATAGGAATGCTAAGCAAATAGGTACAACTATAGGTTCAATTTTCCTTGAGAAAACTTTGGAATAGTAAAAGTGAAATTGGAACCATACATTTCACTTTCATCTGTGTATGCTGCCATTCATGCACAATGTGTCATTAGTCAATGTTAAAGCTTTCTACTATTATAAAACATTTTCAAGATATTTTTGTGGCAATTACTGATCTTGAATATCATGGAAAATTATTCAATCTCACCAAACAAAATAGTTTTATTTAGTCATGACTTACTTGTGGTCTCAGTATATATCATCACTTAATGAAATTTTTTAATATATTTTCATGTAAACTTTTTGTGGCTTCCTTCTGTTATCTAAATTGCTCTAAGAGACAGAATCTATAACACTCTAGCAACCTGATAATCAAACTAATAACTTCTAGATCTTGCATGATCTTTATTGTATTAAATCTGAGATCTTAATGGAAATAAAATGTCTTATATTTAGAGTATTTTTCTTATAACTTAGAAACCAAACATTTGACTTACTTTTGAAGTACATTTTGACTCTCTTAATTGTCTTACTGTCCTTGTATCTTCACACTCAGCATCTGTTTGTTATATGAGAAAAAATTATTTTTTTATGTTTTATTATAAAATAAAAGTTATTGAACCATATAAACCGTATATTTTACTGTTTTTTAATCTACAAAAATAGAAATTTCATGTTTTAGCCTAATATATATAGATAAGTAATAAACATATATGAATAGCTTAACAAACAATTGTGAAGAAAACACCTATGTAACCATCACACAGGTAAAGAAATAGAACATTATGTACCTGAGAAGCACCCACATCCCCCAATTCCTCTTACTCAGAGTTAACAACTATTCTGACTTTCACAATAATCATTTACTTACAGGTTTTCTTATAGTCTTATCACCTGTGTAAGCATTCCTAAACAATATAGCTTTTTTCCTGTTTCTAAACGTTCCATGATGAAATAATACCCATGTACGCTATGTCTTACTTCTTTTGTCTTTCATGTTTATGAGAGATTTATCCATATTGTCGCACAAAGAGTTCATTTATTCTTACCAATATAGAGTATTTCATTGAATGAACACCATATATCTATCTATTCAATTACAAGTGAGTATTTGGGATATTGTTGGTTTGAGGCTATTACAAGCAAACAATAACGTTATGAACATTATTTTACATATATCCTTGTAAATATGTATTTGTATTTTTCTAGGTATATATCTAGGAGTACTTGTCTGTCAGTTTGTGCTGCTGTGAGGCTGGAGGCTATGCCACCAGTATTTCAAATACCAAGAGGATTACTCATGCTGGACAGGTTTCAGTGGAGTTTTCAGACTAAGACAGACTGGGAAGAAGGATGGGGCCATGCACTTCTGAATAAAGTGGTTGCTGAAAATCTTCTGAATAGCAGTGAAACACTGATACAGTATTGGAAGATGAGCCCCTCAGGTTGGAAGGCACTAAAAATACAACTGGGGAAGAGATGCCTCCTAAAGGTAGAGTTGACATTAATGATGTGGATAGAAGTATAGCTTATGGGACCTTCATTTGCTGATGAGGCATGATTCAAAATGGGAAGAAACAGCTGCAAACATTCATTAATATTCAGAACATGAAATATACTAAGTATGAATCTAGGAAAATTGAAAGTTGTCAAAAATAAAATGGAATACATAAAGATTGCTAATCCTAGGCATTAGTGAGCTGAAATGGACTGGTTTTGGCCATTCTGAATCATACAATCATATGATCTACTATGCTTGGAATGATAAATTGAAGAGGAAATGATGTTGCATTCGTTGTCAAGTTGTCAAAAAGAACATTTCAAGATCTATCCTAAAGTACAATGCTGTCAGTGATAGGATAATACTACACACCTATAAAGACGACCAGTTAATACTACTATTATTCAAATTTACACACCAACCATTAAAGCCAAAGCTCACAACTGGACTGATAAGCAACATCACAATAAATGGAGAAAAGACTGAAGTTGTCAGGGATTTCATTTTTCTTGGATCCACAATCAACACTCATGGAAGCAGCACTCAAGAAATTAGATGTCCTGTTGCACTAGACAAATCTTTTGCAAAAGATCTCTTTAAAGTGTTAAGAAAGATACCACTTTGAAGACTCAGGTGCATCTGACCCAAGCCATAGTATTTTCAACTGCCTCATATGCATGTGAAAGCTGGAGACGAATAAGGAAAACAGAAGAGCTGATGCCTTTGAATCGCAGTGTTGGTGAAGAATACCGAAAATACCATGGACTGCCAGAAGAATGAACGAATCAGTCTTGTAAGAAGTGCAACCAGAATGCTTCTGGGAAGTGAGAATAGCCAGACTTTGTCTCACCTACTTTGGTCATGGTCAGAAGGGACACTTCTCTGGAGAAGGATAATAATGCTTAGTAAAGTAGAGGGTCAGCAAAAAAAAAAAAGGGATGACCCTCAATGAAATGGATTGACACAGTGGCTGCAATGATGGACTCTAGCAAAGACTGCAAGCATGGTGCAGGACTGGGCAATGCTTCATTCTGTTGTACACAGGGTCACTATGAGCAAATCTGATGCAACAGCACCTAACAACAACAGCATATCTAGGAGTGCATTTATGAAATACAGAGTATATGCATCTTCCACTTTATCAGATGCCAAGTTATCTTCTGAAGCGGTTGTACCAATTTTTGTTGTGGCAACTAAAACCAAACCAAACCTGTTGCCATCAGATCCAATTCATAGTGACCTTATGTGGCAGACAGAACTGCCCATAGGGTTTCCAAGGCTGTAATCTTTATAGGAGCAGACTGCCACATCTTTCTCCCATGGAGACACTGATGGATTTGAACTGCCAACTGAGCAGCCAATTGCCAACTTAACCACTGTGCCACCAGGGCTCATTTGTGACAACTGTTGTTGTTGTTGTTGTTAAGTGCCGTCAAGTCGTTTCCGACTCATAGTGACCCCATGCACAGCAGAACGAAACACTGCCCAATCC